ATGCTGTATTGGCCAAGGCAAATACAGCATTAATTTAATAACATTAATACATTTTTAGTATTTATTTTTTAAACAATGAATTTATTATTTTATTTTTCTTGTGTTTATATGAAATGTTTGTTGTCCGAACAAAAAATCTTTCGTGAAAGTGTTTGTTATCCGATCTCCCACTGTATAACTTTTTGTATGTATATGTATTATATAACGTTCTATAATATATAACTTTTCTGTATATAACTTTTTGTATGTATATATATATATCAAATATTAAGTAATTAAGGTATATCCAAAAGTTTATGAAATAAAAATTACATCAAAAATATTAAAAATGAGTTTTTGTTTACTTCATATGAAATAAAAACTTTTTGTTTTCAATATAAAAAGAATTTTATTTATAACTTTTCTAAAATTTTATTTAGCACTTCATGGAGCTTTTCACGCTCTTTCTTCCTTTCCTCCCTTCTCTCCTGTATTTCTCTTCTTATATCGTTTAAAACTTTCACCAACTCGCTGCTTTCTCTTTTTCTCTTAAGAGAACTGGTTGCGGATGATGACGTGCCTGCAACAGGAGACAGGGATGACGTGCAGGCAACAGGAGACGGGGATGACGTGGGAGTGGAACTCAAGTGTGAATTTACTCTCACTCCATCTGTGTTGCTACAAGTAGCAACAGGGGAAATTTCTGGGCGTCTCCCAATGGCATCGTCCATTAAAGAATAAAACTCCCAATGCTTCCAATTGTTACCGGATTGGGAATTGTGGAGTTTGATTTTTTAAACGTTTTTTTCAGTCCACGCTATTTGGTGTCAACCTGGGCTGAAGTGACCGAAAACCCCTCCTCATTTAATTTATTTGAAATTTGCCTCCATATCTATAATACTAAAGAAGGTTGTTAGAAATTATTTATGAAAGGTTCACAGGTACAACGTTAATTTGACAAGCAGTAGGCTACAACCTGAATATTTGTATATTGAGGTAATTGAAACTTCTCCCTGTGTTCGTTGTATAACGAAATTAATTGAATGGTCCTGGCTTTGGGCCATTGGAAGCCACAGGGTTCCTCTATAATAAAAGATAAAAAATATTTAGCATATGTAGCCCTTACTATAACAGATTAAAAATTCTAAAATTTTTTAACAATCGGCGCTAATTACATCGTGATCTTAGTTTATCGGTTTATCCTTTCAACAATTTTATTCGAAATCAAAATTTGACTTACCAGCAGGGATACTCGGTCCAACTGAAGCAGTGGAAAGAGTCGTCAAAGCCAATTCTCTGGCATAATTTACATCTGTAATGAAGCCTCTGTTATCGAAATAGGATTTATGATATAAAATTATACACTTTTAGGAATCCCTTTTTACTTACCTTCCATCATCTGACGACAAACGACTTCATTAACGCATAGTTGAACATCTTTTCCATCCAGTAAAGAAACGGTAACGTCGTACATGGACGCCGCCATCTTTGAACTAACACCAAGCTCGTTGTAAGTTCTCCGGGCACGCCGAGTGCGCTAGGAATGCTAGCAATGACGTCACGGGTGCGAAAAGTATACGCTGTGCTCGTTGGTAGCTAACAAAAAGTATACAGGCTGAGTGCGCTAGGGGCGAGATCGGAGGTAAAAGTATACGCACCCATAGTGTCTCACGTCACCGCGAAGACACCCACAGTAGCAGCTACCATCTCCCTGTCCAAACTTGGACTTGAAATGGGAAAACCTCCTGTGTCCAGTCAATATTTGTGTCGTCAACCAGCAACACCTTACCATAGTGAGGCCAACTTCAGACACGAAGGCGTAGGTTGACCTAACTACTGTACTTTGAGTCCAGTGCTCTTGCCAGTTTGTCATTGATTGTTGCAGTAGAGTACCTTTTATGTATGTAGTCGAGGGTTCTACCATCCTCATTACAAATGGACCCCTGGCTTCCGCCTTGGCCAGTTGATCGGCTCAGTAGTTGCCCGAAATCCCGATGTGGCCACGGACCCACCTCAAAGCAACACGTCGCTCATGCCGCGCCCTCAGTATCCTACCTCTGATCTCCTGTACCAGTGGATTGCAATGGTACCCGTCGCTCAAGGCCTGAAGCGACGACTGGCTATCTGAGTAAACCATGACCGGCTCTGGACCCGGACGTGATAGGATCCACGGGGACACCCCCTCCAGGACCACGGAAGGCCGATTCTTCTTCTGCTGGCTATCCCCCATAGTTTTTCTATCAACTGTTTTAGAGAAATATACAGCCCTATCCACACTTGTTGGACGATGATGTTATAGTGACATTAGACCAAGCCTCTTATAAGATGTGCTATCTTTACAGAACATCTCGGAGAATCAGAAGCCCTCGATATCTTTCAAGCCGACCAATGCTGATGTTGCATTAACTATAAAAAAACCAGCAGAGAGTTGCTCAACTTTCCCAGTAACATTTAAAATTTTGGAGATGCCATCTGTTATCATATTTTATTAAATAACTTTGCATAACTTATTTTAAACTATTATAAAATGGCAAGAAGCTTAATTTTGAATTTACAATTTCATTAAAAATTGTAAATGCTAATAAGGAGTTAAATAGTCATTAAGTCTGACTCTACCAGAAATACACACGACCACCACTATCTCCCCCTCAACCTTTAATCACCAAAATTTAATAGCGTCAATCCCCTAATAAAGAAACCTTCCTGCAAAATTTCACAAATTTTCGACAAAAGGAATGGACGTTTAAGCTTCAAACAGAGTGAACAAAATCAAGCCTCCTGTACACACACACACATCCATACAGAAATAACACTAAAATTTTTTTGCATCTCGACATTTTGAGGTGCCCAAGTCAAAAAATGAAAAAAAAAAAAAAAAAAAAAAAACTGGGGGAGAGTCATTTTTGACCATTCGCCATACTTTCCCCATTATATATAACAGCTAGGAAAGTAAATTGCATTTTCATATTTATTTATAATTTAAGTACATCAATCACCTACATGCATCCGAGCAGTAGTTTTGAATTCTGAAGTACACGTTCTTTGGACTATTCAATTTTCAAATACTATCCAAAGATCTTAGGAGATCAAAAGAATTTGTTTCTACAGAGAAATAACCAGTTTCCAGACTAGATCAAGTTAATTTGGCAGTGTATTTGTAAAATAATTCTATTTTGTGCAAAATATTGCCAAAGAAATAGTAGTATAATTAATAAAAATGATATTTCAATAATTTGTACAGAAAAAAACTATTATAAAAACAGAATCAGAAAACATTACACAATTATAAAAAATGTAAACAACATTAATTTTAATACAATACGCAACTAGCAGAATGTTGGGAGAGTTTTGTAAATACAAATGCGTAAAACACGGTTAACGAATATCACTGTTTGACGACAACCAAATCGTCCAAACCAGTGTTTCTCAACGGGGACGATATCGCCCCCATGTGTGCATTTTTCCACGTTGAGGGGGCAATTTGTAACAATTTATATTTTGGGGGGCGAAAAACAATTTTCTGGGCGATATAGTAAAACATTATATTAAGAATAATTAGATATTTTATTCGTTTATCGTACAAGAATTAAACAAACAACATTATACTAGTCACTAGTCTGTTCAATGCAGTACGAATTTGGCCCTCGGCATCAAAATTTTGAAGCGAAGGGGGCGATACTAGGTAACGATTTCATCGAAGGGGGCAATACGATACGAAGGGGGCGACGGTTCGTTAGAGGTCGAGAAACACCGGTCTAAACCGACAACACAAAGAGAAAACGATACAAGTTCGAAATCGTAACGTTTCTACGGAAGCCCGGCGGCAAGCGACGTATTTCATTTTACGCGTCGGAACCAAAGAAGACCATTTTACGACCGAAACGAATTTCGTCGCAACAAACGGAACAATAAACATCGGTAACACGGCGCACCAAATCTTTAAGTCCTCGGCCGGAATACCGCCACTAAAAAAAGAACCCCGGCAGACACCCGTTTAATAAGACGACGCGGCAATAAAAATAAAGCAGACGTACGCAAATTACAAAGTGAGAACGAGGCGAAAGCACGGAGACACGACATTCGACGTACGTAAGATAATAAAATATCGCAGTTTACCAAGATTAAATACGATATAAAACGAAAAACGAGACGAAAATAAAATAAAATTATCCCGGGCGACGTTAAGATAAAAACGTCTTCGGGCAGGCGAAACCACAAAGAACGAAGAGAGGGCGGCCACCACGGATTCCGGCAGCGCGTCTCTCCCCGTTCCGGGGCCGTCTCCGCAAAAATTTCTCCGCCCTGCGGCCGCCCCGGCTCCCGTCCGAAGGCGGAGATTTTCCGCGGCTTCACGCCGCCCGACCCCGACGAGAAATCCCGGAAAAAAGGCCGGAAACTCCCAGAGCGGGAGTGCCCCCGGCAAAGGGCACCGCCAAATTCTCCGGTCGATCTCGCCCCGACAAAGGGCAACGGACTCCTCGACTTCCGGGGACCGTCCCCAATTCTGCCGTTTTTGAAATTAGACGGCAGAATCGATCTTCGAATCTTACGCGATACGGGCCACCGGCAGCCGAGCGGTTCCGTTCCCCGAACACCGCGAGTTCGGCGGAGGGTCGGCACCCGGCCAGGTGGAATTTTCTCCCCCTTCGTAACGCCCGAACGGGGGCCAGTTACCCCTAGAAAGGCATCACCCAAGTGTTACGTTGCCGTAAGTAAAGTAAACAAACAGAAGTAGAATGTCGTCAATAGACGTTACGCATTTAGCATATTGTTTATTTTAAAAAGTAAACATTTGAGAACCGTTCGTAGTTCGACCTTTGAGTTTTTGCTTTTATAATGAAGAAACGATGCGTTATTTTTTTATGCTTTTAAATTAGTCAAGGAATACGATGACTTCAAAGTCAATAAAAAGCAAGTTGTAAAGCATAAAGAGCAAAAGCAAGCCCAGAGTCGTCCCTTTACAACGCTTTAATATCCTTACATTAGCTAATTTAGTACAAACTAAACGGACTGGAACTCACCTTCCTGAAATCTCAATTTAGGCACCATTTCGTCTTGGGCTTTTGAATTTTCCGTGGTTGCGACTAATTTGCATAAAAAAACTAAATAAAAAAGTTATTTGTTTTTCTAAAAAATAACAATTCACTTTTCCACTGGCAAATATACGATACCGCCAACTGTAAACAACGCCGTATTCAATATGGCGCCTTCACTCGGCGCCACCTTTCGTCCAGAATCCAAGTTTTCTCTTTTAATTTTAAACTCACCAAACCACTACTCGACTTTTAAGTATTTCGTGTTTAAAATTAATGTTCGAGTGAAATTGAATCTATACACGCAAAAAATTTTCAATGGTAAAGAGTTTCCACAAAAAAAAATCGATTTAAAGTAATCGTATTTTATACTCGCTAGCGCAAAGGCGTAACATCGATGACCGAGGGATCCGGCCTGGTTCCACCCGTTTGTATCGCGCCACAGTTCCGGGTTCAAAATCTCGATGTTTCTAAAATATTTCTTTTCCGCTTCGTGGGACCCACCGGCTAACGTTATCGGACGTCGCGCCCCACCCGTGGCTGATCTGGTGGAGTGTAAAATTCCCGTGAATCTTAGTAAATAGTTGCAGAATAGTCCAATAATAGTGTCCGAGGAAGTAAGGGAATACCGGGCTTAACACATTACACATTTATTTAACATATATCTTAGCGAGTACGGAACGGGGCCAAAAAGAGGCGGGTGCCCTCGGTTTCACATCTTATATATCGGGCGGCCTCGCCTTCGGGCGCTGCGCTTGACGCGCCTTTTACCAGTCGTGGTAAGACACGACGCGACACGGAGTTTTCCGCATTTTCTTCACCCGTCTAATATATAAATAGGGCCGACTTTCCGTAGAAAGTCCTTCCGCCAGGCCATGTCTTTTCGCCTATCCTCTTTGCCTGGCGTCGTCGTATTCCGCCAAACCAAACCGAAAACACCAGCAATTACGACGTCGGATCGCCGCTTTGGATAGGGTTGCCAATTGTCCTCCTTTCGATGTTTTTAATTTTAATTTATCGTCGTAATATTAGCGACGGATGGCGTTCCAATATCCAGAGTCACCGCCGTGACTCTCCGCCAAATAAGAAGTCACCAACTACGTACACAGAAAGCAGAGTTGCCGATTGTCGGGGGTCGCTCTCTCCGCCCCCAAACATCCGAAGTAATTGCGAGAATCTCGTTCGAAAGACAGTTGTTTTCTTTAACAACTGTGCAAAAGTTTAAGATTTTTTACAAATCCATTGCCGAAATATAAGCGATTGAAAAGTGCAAAAATCGTTTTGTTTTTTTCATCGGCTGTTCGGATAGTTTTTTTTTTTTAACTTTTTTGCAATGCGGGCATTAAAGCTTAGTTCACACTCAGAAATAGCGAAAGCGAATGTGAAAAGCGAGAAGCGATTTTTATTGGCATAGCGAAATTGACCCTACAACCAAAAGCGAAAAGCTATTGCGAATTTTAAGCAGCCAATCATTCGCGAGCGAGAGAAAACGTCATCTCGAAAAACAAAATGGCCGCTTCCGATCTTATGCAGTTAACCACATTTGTTTATTTGTTGAAAAAGAAAAATAAGTCAAAAAGAAAACGATGTTGGGCGAGAGAAATATTAAAATCCGTAATTACAACACGTATTGCGTGAGAAAGTTTCTGTAGCCACGTTGAAAACAACAAGAACCACGTGATAACTAGAAGGAATACGATTGGTGCGAAATTTTTTCGCTAGCGAAAAAGCTGGACAGTTCCGAACTTGTAAGCGATTGGCGAAATGATAGAATTCGCCGGAAACGACGTCGTGTCTGACGCGTTATTCGCTCTGCTTTTCGCTTTCGCTAGCAAATCGCGCTCGATGTGAACTAAGCTTAAGAGGACCTCTGTTTTGCTAGTCCATTACGGGTACGGCCAGGCTCACAGTGGGACGACCGGGGCCCAACGTATCCGGACTACCCCCGCGAAAATTTTCTGGGGATTATTCGATCCGCCTGGATTCGATCCCGGGTCCCCAGTGCGGTAGGCTGCCACCTCGACCGCTCGGCCATCCGGCTTGCTCGGACGGTGGTAAAGAAAAAGTACAGGCTCCAGATTTTAAATTTAAGCCTTTCTCGTTAGAAACGAGATGCCGGTGAAATTTTCTGGTCGATAGGTCACGGGGATTTCCCATAGAGCTAATTCAGTTTTATGGCTTAATTTTATGGTTATAAAAAGTTATAAAAAATGCACGGAAACGAATGAATTTTATTCAAAATGTTACTTGGAATAACAAAAGCTGAAATGTATGTCAATTAAAGCTTGATATAACGATTTGACAAAACGGCGTATCGAAAAATATTTAAAGCGTGATGTATAGATAGCGTGGTCGGGCCACTACGTTGTAAAATCTGTAATATGCCACTTTCTGCCAGTAGCTGGCTTTTGATCGTATTTAGCCCATTTTCTCCTATCAATGCTTTATTAATAAACTAGCAGACCCAGCCACGCGTTGTTGTGGCTCGAAATGTATCTATTATAAATCTATAACACTTCACCCGTGGGGGGATTTTTCGAAAAATCCTTTCTTAGTGTACATTCTCTCGACGTACCCTATTAAAACGCGATGAAAAACGCAAAAAACCGCATTAAAATAGTATAAATAGAAGCGAGGTTTTTCACCGTAAGCCTTAATCCCGTCCATCTCCTCCCAGTGGGGGGAATTACGACGTGCGACTAAATATCTAGATGGCACAAGGCGCCGATTGGTCAGCCGAATGACGTCAACCCACCGAAGTATAGATTATATTTTGTGGTGGTCAGAACGAATCGTGACGAAATAGATTATTTTTTTAGTTGTCGTAATATGGAGTGAGTATAAAGTGAAAATACAGTTGATTATTATTATTTTTTTTAACATTTAACTTCATACTTGATCTTTACGCACCTCTGAACCAAATCATACACAATAGACCATTTTAATAGTGCGATTAGTGTTTTAAATTTACGTGCACAGATAATGAATAAGAAACTTTATACTTTGTTACAGATATTATTCATAAAATGTTCGAGAAAGGATGAATTTTATAATTGAGATAAGTCAGAATATTCTTTGAATTTGTCACGCGCATTTAATATAGTTAGATAAAACAATAAAATTAACTAAGTTTTGTATACCTCTGAAAGAGAAATTTTCACAAATCTTGCTTAACAAATTATAAAGTTTAAATGTAAAAGTTGTCGAACACTTTTGAATAAAAAATATTCTCCATAGATTACTTCATACTCTTATCAGAATTTTTTTTTTTAATTCTTTACTTAGGATTGACAGTTCTTTCTGTCAATAGACATTTCGTGCATTTGAATGTCAGTTCAAAATCTGTGTTAAGAAACAATACTTTTCAAATTTACAGAAATTTCATATATCCATTTCCATCATGGATATATATGTAAATACGTTTAATCAAATTTGTATGACCATTTTTCAAATTAAAAGCATAGAATTCTTGTATAAAATATCTAACAATCAATAATACTGTAAGTATTTAAATTCCTTGGAATATAATAGTTAAATATGTTATAAATAAGAATTTCCATACATTTCATCGTGGAAATTGTTTATCAATATAAGTGTCAGGAAAAAGTAATGTTACATTCGTACTGTAATGTTTTCGTAGTAAACTATTTTTTTAATTCTTTCTGTGTTTTGTTAAAATAATATTACCATACTAATGAATAACTACAGTATTTCTAGATGTCTCGTATGTGCTGTATACCCGGTTGCATAGAAAAATATATATTTAGTGTCTATATTTAAAGGATTTGATTTGAAAAGCGAACCAATGGATTAAAGAATTTGTAGAAAAAATAACTTATTATTTAAAATGTTTTAACAATTATGCATTAAAATGCATGAGTTATGTTTAGGTGAAAATATATATTAAATTCTTAACTAATCTGCATTTCCACTTGGCATATTCTGTTGTAATATAGACCTATATAAAACATTAAATACGAGTTTCTGTAAGGTTAAAAATACTGTATTGTCTAATAAAAAATGTAAAAAAATAGCTTAATTTGCAATTTACATTTGTTGTTTTTGATTATTATAGTAAATGTACAAAAAAGCTTACAAAAATACAAAACAGATAAAAGTTACTTCTTAATGTTTAAAAATGTCTCGGCATTAAAATCTTTGATATCACGTAATTTAGTTTAATGTTAGAATTATTGCAAAATTTTCAATTAATGTCGATACACACGAGAGCTCGTGAAATTATAAGTGCCTTTTATCGAGTTTTAGGTGAAATGTCTATAACTATTATATAACGTCTGTCCGCTCTCACAACAACAACAACAATACGAAGTTTAGGCTGATCGATCAACATTTCCGATTTTAGTAGATTGACGTCATTCGGCTGACCAATCAGCGTTTTGTGCCATCTGGATATTTAGTCGCACGTGAATTTCGACACGTACATTATATAAAAACACGCGCGTATTCGAATGCGGCGTTGAGTGAAAATTTCAAAGGAACCGGTAGGAACAAAGGAACGTTACATTTTTATTATATATTGATAGATGATGCGCTTTATTCTTTATTGTTCATCCTGGCAGAAAAGCGAACTTAGGTGGTGGTACTCGCGGAGTTAGCGCCATCTGTCGGACATAAAAGAGCTTAATCCTAGACGATATCTTAATTTATACGAATGTTTGGCGGAATAATATACGGCCTACGTCCAGTGGTGATATTCAGCGGGTTCGCACAGGTTCGGCCGAACCCGTTGTTAACGTTTTCAAAGTTTTCCGAACCTTGTTAAACACACGTAACGTTTCTCGGTGGTTTTGTTTCTTTTAAAAAATATATTAAAATATACGTATTATACTCTGTAACACTACTAAACTAGAGCCTTATATCCCGTTCGCCTCGGTGCGACCGTTTCAATCTCGACCGAAACGAAGTTCAATCGCGATCGACTCGAGAGAGTTCTTGAACTAGATCCAGTCATAAGAGAGATGTCACAATCCCACGCGCGCGACAAAATACAAGATGGCTGCGGAACACGTGTCGGGCTAGCGACAGCGAAATAAAAAATATACTGTATTTGGAGAGACGATGACATTCGTCTATTATAAGATATATCGCAAGAAAAAGTATTGTATTTATTTCTAACCAAAACTTCCATTTTGTTTGTCGGTGTTGGTGACTTACCGCGTAGTTATTTCAGTTTTATCGTCGTGTGTAAC